GATAGTTGATTTTTTTTTTTTTTTTTAAAACTAAATTCTCATAGTCTTGATATTTTTTATTGCATAAATTTTCTTCAAATTCTTATTCATGTTTATATTCTTCTAATTATAATGTTGTCTTGAATATCAAAAGCAAGAAAAATAAAATTTAACATAAAGTTCACCTCAAATTTGTGAAATGATACATGCTCAATGATGGTTGAGAAGCGTTTGATTTGTTTTAACCTGATATTTTTAATCTACAAATTTAATTGTTAATTAGTTTAGCCTTGTTTTCATTGTCGTTTTATTTTTTGTTGAGTGTAGTAGGTCGTTTAATTTATTTTAAGTGATATTTTGCGTTTTATAGATTATATTTTAGTTGAAATAGCTACTTAGTGTAGCTTCCCTTGAGCTAAGTGCAATTTGGGACATTTTTCAACCTAGCAAATATTTTGCAGTTGTAATAGTTTATTCTTTTTATATTCGAACTTTGATTGCTATTTTTTTAGTTATTAAACAATACAGTATTCTCATACACGACTCTTCAGTACTATTTATTGTTAAAAAATCACTTATTAATCCTGACAAGGTCCCTTAAAAAATTTTGGCCTTACCCCCAGAATGCTTGAGCAAGATATGCTATAATTACATCAATGCAGAATTCATTCGTTGGTATGAAGATACATTATGTTTGTAACATTTTGTCAAATGCTTAGAGTTGTCACTCTACAGGCCTTTGAAAATTTATTGAAATAATTAGGATAATTCGGCTATATTTTTCCTTTTAAGAAATAACAAAAGTAAGAGCCAATGTAATTGCGACAAAAAAAGTCTCTTGTTAGAATGAAGCGGTCATTAAGCATAAAAATATATATCTTATGATAGCAAATCCCATGACTACAAGCGTGCTAGCTAAAGTTCATAAACATCGGATCGAGAACATGCCTTTTCTTTTCAATAATTTTGTTCTACATTTGGAACGATGTTGTCGGGCATCCATTGTGGTTATTGCAGTTTGAACCCCGAATTACATGATGTTTATTCGTAGAGCAAAGTACCTTTTTGGAGATGGTATTTGTGATACATGAAAGGAAAGTATTGTGAATTTCTATTGAATTACGTTGTTGGCGGTTTTAGTACATGGTCTGTTAATTACTCACCTAAAGGTTAACCGTCGAGGCTGTGACCAAGTGGAAGAATGTAACCATATACATGGCGCTCACATTTTTTTGGGCAAGATAGTTACAATATCATACGTCATTTTTTTGGATGAAGAAAGGGAATTGACAGGCCTCGAACGTACTGCTTCCGCCTAGATACAACAGTGATCTCTTCGGGGTTTGCTGTATCTATATGTGTCTGGAGATGGGTATTAAAGCTGATGAAACTTCAATTGTACAAAAAAATGTTACAATCCAACCCATTAGAACTTTGTGCCCTTGTTCACCCCGACTAAAGAAACAAGCACCAAATCAAGGGAATATTTGAACTACCATTGCCATTGTGACTTAAGGGTAGGAGGGCCTTTGTCAAAGAACACCTCAACACCACAACTAGCTGGAAAAAGACTTTTCACCATCTTGTACTAATGACATACCACTATATGCCAAATTCCTGGTGGAATATGATGAAATTTAATAGAAATTTTGTTCTTCAGTGAGACATTTCTATTTGAGAAAAGGGGAATGAGCCGGCTCGAACACACTGCTTTGGCCTTAAAAGGACCGTGCTTTGATCAGGATTGGTTAGAGGGGAGGGAGGGGAGGGGAGGAGCTGAAGAATGCTGATTTAATACTAAAGCTGATAACAATTCATTCCATAAAACAAAGTGTTAAGATTTCATCTACACCAGTAAAACTGCGGTGTGACTAATATATACACAAGTGACTCCCCATTTGTATCATACAAAGGGGGCATACTTCACTACGTACACACGCACACACATCCTATTGCATGTAAACACAGTCCAGAAGAGAGTACGCTATTATGCTATAGCATGAGATTTCTTAGTAAAATCCTTAATTATTCCGCTATCATATAACTGCAACACCGTGTGATCATATTCTCATCTGGTTTTTCGTGAACCTGGCATGGTTCGCACATGTAAAGACAAGCCTGATTACATTCTTTTGGAACATAAGGTTTTTGTTGATTAGGCCTCGCCCAATTTCCGTGGAACGCTTCTAGAGTTTTGAATCCTTCCTCTCCTATTCTTGCAAGATCTGCCTTGGATAACGTTTTTTAAGGCACTATAAAGAAGTATGAAGAGGTTACAAGGAAATGTTTTGTGTTGCTCTTGATGCTTTGGATATAAGGTGAAATCTCTTTATATAGAAGCTCAATGTCTAGTGTGAGGGTAAAGTAACTAAGAAATATCTAAACAAGTGGACTTTGGATTCTATCTTGTGAGATTCCTTTCAGATGTGTATTTTGAGCACTTTTCCAATCCCTTTTTCTTTTCAAGAGTAATAATAATCAGAAAAGAAATGAAAAATGAATAAAGCACAAATAGATTAATTTATAGTGGCTATATCTATAGGTTTTCAGTGTAATGGAGAGCAGTACAAGTTTTTCCTACCTCCTCTTCCACCCAGAAAACCCCACAAATGTGCAGGAATATAAGAGCAATTTGATACGTGTATGACATAGTCAATACACCCTTGGTCTTGAAATGTGGTCAAATTAACCTCTATACAGTATGCTAGAAAAAATATTTGTGAAAGCGATTCAAGCTCTGACAAAATAATATAGTTATCATTACTACTAACACTTGTCACTCCGATTTCTGCCAAGTTGTGTGGGGAAAAACGAGATTTTTTTTTCTGATCTTATCAGTGGCTTATCCATGCTCAGATTCTAATTCGAGAAAGCTTTACTAGTAACCGAGTCAAATTGTTCATATTATATTTTATCCTTCGCAACTTTTTACGGATTCGATTTATCTAAACAAGCCCATTTGACAAGAAACTAGAATTACTACATCAGCAGCATACGGTCTGATGTAATTAGCTCAGAAGCTAAAGAAAATTGTTCACAGATTGTTCGACTTCGCTTGCCATTTTCTTGCAGGAGTGTATGGAGCTGAATCGTATATATATTAGGCCATCTTACAATAAAAATGAAATCCTTAGAGGACTTCTTCTCCAATACAGAGAAACCTACAGCAGGAAGTGGAATGTAACTCTTACCATTCAAAGGCGATCACTAGAATTTTGTGGGAGTGCTTTGCTTTCTCAGTTTTCATTCAGTTATTATTCCTTTTATAAGATGGGATTAACGTTTAATCCCAAACCTCTCATGTTAGACTAAACTTTGTTACATACATGGCCTGCTAACCCGGTTGCAACATAGCCATCACAGACAATATAGGTGGTTCAACTTGTGTAGAAGAGCGAAATAAGATCTTATGTTCAAGTCTAACCATCAATTAATATTCCACGTGCCATACTCCTGATGAAAAATCAATAATATCCTGCACACAGCACGATGTGTTGGAGGCAAAATATAAATAAATAAATTTATTCTTTTCTAATAGATCAAACTTCAAAAGAGGTGGCCGGTATCAGAACTTTATATATTAATATTATATCTTCAGAAAGAGTTCTACTTGAAGGTTACTTTGTAAGTGGAATATGATTCTCCTGAACTTCTCTGATTCTCTAATGACATGAGAATTGGCCGCGGATTAATGACCTAACCAAAAATATTTTTGTCAAATACTCCATAGTTGAGCGGACTAATTGTTGTTTTTAGTCCAACCCAAATGACCGAATCTGATGCCTTGCCTAAACCATTTCGAAACTCATGGTAGCAGAAGGATTCCAGGATGCCCTTTTACGTGAAGTAGTTCAATATGGTATTAGAGCTTTGCGACAATCTATCCATGAAAAATTTGTCCTGTTCTAGACTTTATGTAAGAAATGCATCTGGCCAGTGGACGGGTGTGTTTAAGACATAATTTAAATAAATATGGATCGTCTCATTTCTAACTGCTTAAGTTTTCCCAAGAGTCGGTACATATCTTCCATCGCTAGCTTTATGATTGAACCCCAATGATTTGAAGATCACAAGAATATAATAGACAAACTGTACTATATGAAAGTGATTACGGTGCTAATGCATTGTGTTGCAAAACAAATTGATTCTTCTCTAGAATGGAGTTGATTTATCACATTGACATCGTTGGCGCAAAACACAATCAAACTTCACTGTATTACGAAAAGAGGTCCTCATGCATCGTATTGCACGTCAAAACAAAAACTGACTAGAGATGGATTATGCTTCAAGAAAAAGAATATTGTCCCACGTGCTCAAGTTCTACAGCTAATTAATTTTTTTAGCATCACGAATTTAACTTGCCAAATCAGATACTTTAATTTAGACACTGAAAGAGAGAGAAAGCAGAAAATCATAATCTAAAGAGGGATGGCATATTATCTAAATAAATACAATTAATATTTTTAACCAATTGAATAAGTCCATCAAAATTTTGAAAATTTCCAACATTTTAGTTGCCAAAAAGGCTTCGAAATTCATCCTGAATAATACGCAAGAAAACAGTGTCACATTTACCTCTGTCTTCTTGATTATAATATCACCTTTTTAACTTGAGCGTCGGAGTGTCTTCTTCGTATGGCATTCAAAACCTCGACTTGCAAGACTACAACACATCCAAACCTTCAATAAGACTGAGGAAACACAACTAACCTGAAAAAGACTTCACCACATAGTATTAATGGCATACCACTTGATCATGATGTATGTTGTACTTCATGATCAAATATTCACTCTTAGTTATAATTTTTGTAAAATTTCATCTCTGCCGCCTCATTGTAAGACATCATGATTTAGTTTTACCCTTCTATATGGCAAATTCCTATTAGAACATGATGAAATTAAATAAAATTTTTGCACTTCAGTAAGCTACTTTTTTAATTGAGTAAAGGGAACTGAGGGGATCAAATGCACAGCTTCCACCTTGATAGGACGGTGCTCTGATCAGTGGAGGGGGGCTCCGATTCAATACTAAAGCTGATAATTATTCAATTCATATAAAAAAGTGTGATAAATTTTGTCTACACCTAAAAACTTCCGGGTGACTAGTATTTATACAGTGACTCCGCATTTGTATCATACAAAGGGAGCCTGCTAACTATGTAGATATATTTTATAACATATAGACTGTCCAAAAAAGAGAGTCTAATAAGACATAGCTTGAGATTTACTGGTATAATCCTTAACCATCACGCCTTCATGAAGCTGCAACACCTTGTAGGAGTTCATAGTCTCATCCTGTTTTACCTGATAAACTAGTGCCTGTTGTGGTTGGTACTGGTAAAGACAAGTCTGTTCAGGTTCTTGTGGACCATAAGTCTTTTGTGGATTAGACCTGCCCTTCTTTCCATAGTACGCGTCCAGTATTGCAAAACCTTCCATTCCTATTTTTACAAGGTCTGCCTTGGATGACATTGTTTTGGTGCGAGAAATATATTTATGAAGAAGTTACAAGGAAATGCTTTGTCTTGTTTTTGATGAATTGGATATCAAGTGAAAGCCCTTTATATAGAAATCTCAAGGAAAATCTGAACATAGTGGCCGGTGGATTCCTATCTTGCGGGATTCCTTTTAGGTGTGTATTGAGCACTTTTCCAAGATTAGGAAATCCTTTGTCTTTCTAAGAAGAAGTGGTTTTACCCTTGTTATGAGATTAATTTATTGTGGTTTTACCCTTGTTATGAGAGCTATATCTATACGTATTCAGTGTAATGGAGAGAAGCACAAGTTTTTCCTACCGCCTCTTTCACCCAGAACACCCCACAAATATGCAGGAATATTAGAGCAATCTGATATGTGTATGAAATACTCTATACACCCTTGGTCCCGCAATGTGTTCCAATTAGCCTCTATATAGTATGCTAGAAAAAATATTTGTGAAGGCAATTCAAGCTCTTCTATGACGTCAAAATAATATAGTTATCATTACTACCAACACTTGTGTGGTGAAAAACAAGATATTTTTTCTGATCTTATCAGTGACTTATCCATGTGCAGATTCTAATTCCAAAAAGCTTTACTAGTCAATTGAGTTAAATTATTCATAATATACTTTATCCTCTACAACGTTTTACGGATTCGATTTATCTAAACAAGTCCACTTTGACAAGAAACTAGAACACTACATCAGCAGCATACGGTCTGATGTAATTAGCTCACAAGCTACAGAAAATTGTTCACAGATTGTTAGACATCACTTGCCATTTTCTTTCTGGATTGTATGGAGCTGAATCATATATATATTAGGCCATCTTACGGTAAAAATTAAATCCTTCGAGGACTACTCCTCCAATACAGCGAAACCTACAGCAGGAAGTGGAATGTAACTCTTACAATTCGAAGGTGATCACCATAATTGCTTTTTCAGTTTTCATTCAGTTATTTAGCGCTTAATCCCAAACCTCTCATGTTCGACTAAAATTTGTTACTTACATGGCCTGCTAACCCGGTTGCAACATAGCCATCACAGACAATATAGGTGGTTCAACCTGTGTAGAAAAGCGAAATAAGATCTCATGTTCAAGTCTCACCATCGATTAATATTCCACGTGTCATACTCTTGATGAAAAATGCACACAATATATATAAATAAATTTATTCATCTCTATAAACTTCTAAAGAGGTGGTTGGTGTCAGAACTTTATATATTAATATTATATCTTCAGAAAGAGTCGAGAGTTCTACTTGAAGATTACCTTTGTAAGTGGAATATGATTCTCTTGAACATCTCTGATTCTTTTGTGAGATGAGAATTGGCACCGTATTAACTGAACTAACCAAAAGCATTTTCGGCAAATATTCCATAGTTGAACTGACTAGTTGTTGTTTTTAGTCTAACCCGTATGAATGAATCTGATCCTTTGCTTAAACCATTTCGAAACTCACTGTAACAAACAGATTCCAGGATGCTTTTTCAAATGAAGTAGTTCAATGGATATTGTCACATGCGCTCAAGTTCTACAGCTAATTAATTTTTTTAGCATCACGAATTTAACTTGCCAAAGAGAAAAAGAACAGAATATCATAATCTAATAAGGGATGGCATATTCATATTACCTAAATATATGCGATTTATATTTTAATCAATCGAATTAGATTACAAAATTTTGAAAATTTCCAGCATTATACTTGCAAGAAGAGGCTTCGAAATTGATTCTGAATAATACATAAGAACCACCACATTCACTTTTGTCTTCTTGATTATAATATCACCTTTTTGACTTGAGCATTTGGCCTTTTTCGTATGACACTCAAAACCTCGACTTGCAGGACTACAACACATCCAAACCTTCAATAAAGCGGAGGAAACACATCTAACCTGAAAAAGACTTTATGATCAAATATTAAGAGCCTGTTTGGGAGGGATTTTTTATCCAAAAAAATTGATTTTTTGACTGTTATTTCACTATTCCAGCCGTAATTTTTGATTTCTTCTCTCACGGATAGACCCCACTTTTCTTCTAACGGTTAAAAAATCAATTCTCAAAATCCCTCCCAAACGGAGCCTAACTGTCAGTTATAATTTTTGTGAAATTTCATCTCAGCCGCCTCATCGTAAGACATCATGATTTAGTTTTACCCTTCTATATGTCAAATTCCTATTAGAACATGATGAAATTAAATAAAACTTTTGCTCTTCAGTAAGCAACTTTTTTAATTGAGTAAAGGGGACTGAAGGGGACAAATGCACAAATTTCACCTTGATAGGAAATGCTCTGATCCAGGGGGGAGACTCTTATTCAGTACTAAAGCTGATAATAGTTCAATTCATATAAAAAAGTGTTACAAACTTTGTCTACACCCTAAAAACTTCCAGGTGACTAGTATTTATACACTGACTCCGCATTTGTGCATCATCATGAATGTACATCTTAGTAGGTACACTAGCAAAGTAGGCACAGTAATACCCCATAAATAGTCATAAATCGATTCGGCAGTTTCTAGCCACTCTTCTGGCAAGATATCAATAAGAAGGTGGGTGGCTCGACAACCAGTGACCAAATAGCCTAGTTGTATCACCTCTCGCCACCTTACAAGCATCTCTCAAATGTACTCACGCATATTGTGCGTTGGATTCCACCGGTGCTCTTCATACTATCTCATGATCTCACATCGACGAGGCATCAATGAACTCATCTTCCTACAAGTTATTCAAAGTCCAATTAGCGGGTATCTAATAGGTTTTAGTTAATTCTTGAGGACTTAAATAAACATTTAATATGGTCACATTCTCAAAATACTTTGCAAAATAATGATTATTCACAAAAGGTATTCAGCTCAAACATATATTAATATTCATAAATACATTTCAAATGTTGTATCTGAAATAACTATTCCATAATTATCATATAGATACAAGTATAATCATAAAATTTTCTTTACCTCAAAATTGGCATGGCGCGGCTATGGCGGGCATAGTGCTCAAGATCCTCATAAAAAAATTTCTTTAACTTTATATGTGACACAACACTCCTAAGATATGGTTTCTATTGCAAGTCTACAGAAAAATAAACTTAGGCTCTGATACCAAGTTGTAACGCCCCTAATTCTCGAAAAACCGAAGCGTTAAAAAAATATTCGTTTCTTTATTTGGTTTGACCCCTTTAACGCTAGCCAAAGTATTTTATAAATCCAATTTTTTTTAAATATATAAAATATAATGGAAGGTAGTTATCCATATAAACTTAGGCAGATGTAGCAAAATTTGATTTGTAAAAGATTTGAAGGCAAATCGATAATTATGGATTTAACAACAGCGGAAGGATAATATATTTGACCTAGCGAATGTCTATTAAAATTTATGAAATTTTTACAGGGACTAAAGCATTCATATATGTACCACATATAAAAATTTTGGGTTTTGACGATAACGTTTGAAGCACGAAAATATTACTCGAATAGGCTGGACAGAAATCTCGGATTTGACACGACGCAGTTTACTAAAACGGGCATAACTTTATTTTTAGATAATATTTTCGAGAAATTCCAAAGGACACTATTAGAAGACTCATAAACCTTTCAAACCCCACTAATTTCACTTAAAAACATGCAACGTAGTCCAAGTTATACCATTTTCAAATAGGAGGACAGAATCTGAAATTTAACCCAGCATAAATTTAAACTTCATACATATTCAATCCAACACCTCTAAATTCTAATTATCATGCATCGTCTATGGAACTAGACAAAATAAACATTAAAACATTTCTAAAAAGTTTCGTCTAAGTATCCATAAAATATTTACATAAATAGAAATATTTACTAGAAATTGAAAGCATTAGAGATCGCCGAACACTTGCCACAATGCCAACCACTGCCATGCCTCGATCTTAACCTGTAAAATTATTTGTAGGGATGAGTAGTATAAATAATACTCAGTAGGAAACACTTAAGTAAACAGTAAAAATATATATTTTCAGAAATGCAAACTTTGGTCAATTGTGTTATCGTCAATTTCAAGCGAATTGGTGATCAGTCAGTCCGCTTACTCTTAGGTTTTGATAACCCCATTTCATTTGTCATAATCATCTCTTTATCTTTTGTTTAAACTACCAAACGGTGATTCCATCATGAGCAACACAATAACACATTTAATGCAAACGAAAATATATAAATCTTATATCACTTACATAAGTGCCGAAATACCCGTACCTTGATGTTTGGAGTTTGAATACCCTTTTCGCGTTCAATATATAGATTTAAAATGCAGCGTACTTCTTGCCTCTTCTTCAAATAAATTTTCAGATTTAAAGATACTTTAGTTTATGGGAAATGGGCAAAAGAATTAGGGGAGAAAATGGGGCTAAAGAAGTTTTTAAATTTGAGCTATCAAAACAAACTTATGATTTAAAAATAAAGGGACCCCCCCTTTTATATATATATATATCATATGATGTGGCCGTGTAATGCACTTAAAATGGGAGTTACAATTCCTCAAATGAAGTGGTCGTGGGATGTTAATTAGGTGCTTAATTGGTGGGTAAACATGTAGGTTGTTATTTTCTGTGGTAGCAGTTAACCAATTGGAAATTAAGGAAGTATTTGTAATAATTAATATCTATCAATAACTTTATGGAAGTGGCCGGCAGTTAACTGATGTGGGGAAATAAAAAAAAACATGGTTAGTGGGGAGTTAAAATGATAATTGTTGGCAGTTAACAAAATGGAGATTAATATGCTAAGATAGGGTTGGTTAAAATTGGAGGTTACAATGGATAATAAAGTGGGGGTAATAAATGGATAAAAATTGGAGTTGTAATTTTATTTTCAAATGAATGATCGGGTACGGTTTTTGGCATTGACAAAAATGGAAGTTTATTAAAATGATAAGTTGGAAAATAAATGATGGATGATGAAACATGCAAGTAATTTGTCCAATTTAAAAAAAAATAGTTTACATAATGGAAATAAAAATGGTAGTATTAAAATAAAGTGTGTCGTAAGAAAAATAATGTAACCAAATTAACATAAAATTTTGTTGGTTAAAAGCGATTTTAACACTTTGTAAAATTTAAGAAAATCAAGTACGCGGAATTTTACTTTGGTGACCAAAATTTAATTTGAACTATTAGGAAGTGTCGTAGCGACATAATAATATAACCCAATTTATATTTGAGTCCTATAAGAAAATTTTATTTGAAATGAAACAAAACACATTATTATTTTTTATTTATTTATTTATTTATTTTTTCCGATCGCTGCAGCTACTTTTTTAATTGAGTAAACGGAACTGAGGGAATCAAATGCACAGCTTCCACCTTGATAGGACGGTGCTCTGATCGGTGGAGGGGGGCTCTGATTCAATACTAAAGCTGATAACAGTTCAATTCATATAAAAAAGTGTTATAAATTTTGTCTACACCCTAAAAACTTCTGGGTGGCTAGTATTTATACAGTGACACTGCATTTGTATCATACAAAGGGAGCATGCTAATATATTTTATAACATATAGACTGTCCAAAAAAGAGAGTCTAATAAGACATAGCTTCAGATTTACTGGTATAATTCTTAACTCATGAAGCTGCAACACCTTGTAGGAGTTCATAATCTCATCCTGTTTTACCTGATAAACTAGTGCCTGTTGTGGTTGCTACTGGTAAAGACAAGTCAGTTTAGGTTCTTGTGGACCATAAGGCTTTTGTGGATTAGACCTGCCCTTCTTTCCATAGTACGCATCCAGTATTGCAAAACCTTCCATTCCTATTTTTACAAGGTCTGTCTTGGATGACATTGTTTTGGTGCAAGAAATAAATTTATGAAGAAGTTACAAGGAAATGTTTTGTCTTGTTCTTGATGAACTCGACATCATGTGAAAGCCCTTTATATAGAAAGCTCAAGGAAAATCTGAACATAGTGGCCGGTGGATTCCTATCTTGCGGGATTCCTTTTAGGTGTGTATTGAGCACTTTTCCAAGATTCGAAATCCTTCGTCTTTCTAAGAAGAAGCGGTCCTTGCAAGAGGGTGGTTACATGTGTGTGTGACCAAAAAAATGAAGATATCTATTGTTTTATTGAAATAAGTAGGATATATACTAGGCCATCTTAAGGTAAATTGATCAAAGATTGTTGGACATCACTTGCCATTTTCTTGCTGGATTGTGTGGGGCTGAATCGTATATATATTAGGCCATCTTATGGTAAAAATGAAATCCTTCGAGGACTACTCCTCCAATACAGCGAAACCTACAGCAGGAAGTGGAATGTAACTCTTACAATTCGAAGGTGATCACTATAATTGCTTTTTCAGTTTTCATTCAGTTATTTAGTGCTTAATCCCAAACCTCTCATGTTCGACTAAACTTTGTTACATACATGGCCTGCTATCCCGGTTGCAACATAGCCATCACAGACAATATAGGTGGTTCAACCTGTGTAGAAAAGCGAAATAAGATCTCATGTTCAAGTCTCACCATCGATTAATATTCCACGTGTCATACTCTTGATGAAAAATGCACACAATATATATAAATAAATTTATTCATCTCTATAAACTTCTAAAGAGGTGGTTGGTGTCAGAACTTTATATATTAATATTATATCTTCAGAAAGAGTCGAGAGTTCTACTTGAAGATTACCTTTGTAAGTGGAATATGATTCTCTTGAACATCTCTGATTCTTTTGTGAGATGAGAATTGGCACCGTATTAACTGAACTAACCAAAAGCATTTTCGGCAAATATTCCATAGTTGAACTGACTAGTTGTTGTTTTTAGTCTAACCCGTATGAATGAATCTGATCCCTTGCTTAAACCATTTCGAAACTCACTGTAACAAACAGATTCCAGGATGCCTTTCAAATGAAGTAGTTCAATGGATATTGTCACATGCGCTCAAGTTCTACAGCTAATTAATTTTTTTAGCATCACGAATTTAACTTGCCAAAGAGAAAGAACAGAATATCATAATCTAATAAGGGATGGCATATTCATATTACCTAAATATATGCGATTTATATTTTAATCAATCGAATTAGATTACAAAATTTTGAAAATTTCCAGCATTATACTTGCAAGAAAAGGCTTCGAAATTCATTCTGAATAATACATAAGAACCACCACATTCACTTTTGTCTTCTTGATTATAATATCACCTTTTTGACTTGAGCATCTGGCCTTTTTCGTATGACACTCAAAACCTCGACTTGCAGGACTACAACACATCCAAACCTTCAATAAAGCGGAGGAAACACATCTAACCTGAAAAAGACTTTATGATCAAATATTAAGAGCCTGTTTAGGAGGGATTTTTTATCCAAAAAAATTGATTTTTTGACCGTTATTTCACTATTCCAACCGTAATTTTTGATTTCTTCTCTCACGGGTGGACCCACTTTTCTTTTAACGGTCAAAAAATCAATTCTCAAAATTTCTCCCAAACGGAGCCTAGCTATCAGTTATAATTTTTGTGAAATTTCATCTCAGCCGCCTCATCGTAAGACATCATGATTTAGTTTTACCCTCCTATATGCCAAATTCCTATTAGAACATGATGAAATTAAATAAAACTTTTGCTCTTCAGTAAGCAACTTTTTTAATTGAGTAAAGGGGACTGAAGGGGACAAATGCACAACTTTCACCTTGATAGGAAATGCTCTGGTCCAGGGGAGAGACTCTTATTCAGTACTAAAGCTGATAACAGTTCAATTCATATAAAAAGTGTTACAAAATTTGTCTACACCCTAAAAACTTCCGGGTGACTAGTATTTATGCAGTGACTCCGCATTTGTATCATACAAAGGGAGCATACTAACTATGTAAATTTATTTTATAACATATAGACTGCCCAAAAAAAGAGAGTCTAATAAGACATAGATTGAGATTTCCTGGTATAATCCTTAACCATCACGCCTTCATGAAACTGAAACACCTTGTAAGAGTTCATAACCTCATCCTGTTTTACTTGATAAACGCGTGCCTGTTGTGGTTGGTACTGGTAAAGACAAACCGATTTAGGTTCTTGTGGACCATAAGGTTTTTGTGGATTAGACTTGCCCTTCTTTCCATAGTACTCGTCCAGTATTGCGAAACCTTCCATTCCTATTTTTACAAGGTCTGCCTTGGATGACATTGTTTTGGTTTGAGAAATAAATTTATGAAGAAGTTACAAGGAAACGTTTTGTGTTGTTCTTAATGAATTGGATATCAGGTGAAAGCCTTTTATATAGAAAGCTCAAGGAAAATCTGAACATAGTGGCCGGTGGATTCCTATCTTGTGAGATTCCTTTTAGATGTGTATTGAGCAATTTTTCAAGATTTGGAAATCCTTTGTCTTTCAAAGAAAAGCGGTCCTTGAAAGAATGACTTCTTTTTAAGAGGAGGGTTGCATGTGTAAGTGTGACCAAAAAAATGAAGATATCTATGTTTCATTGTGCAAAGTTTAGATTTGCCCATTGCCAATGTCTTTACCTTCAAAAAGCTAGCTGAGGATGAAGTCCATAATTTCAAGACTAATAAAAATTAGACACAAGCAAAAAAAGGCCCCCTGAAAAATCCTTTATGTATGCATGAACATTAGGGCAATCTAATGCATGTATGAAATACACAATTATCACAGAAACAAAAATATTCTAAGCTCCATAGAATATAAAACATTAATGCCAACAATTCAAGCTTTTATATGAAGTTGAAATGTCATAGTTACCGTTATTAACACTGTCGCTCGGATCATATCTATATTATATAATGAAAAAGAAGATTTCTTGTTTTTATCTGCCACCCCCTTATCAGTGGCTTAGCCATGTTTAGATTCTATTTCCTTTCAGAAAGCTTAGTCAATTGACTCAATATAGGGAAAGTCCTGGTACTCTTTTATCCTTCCACAACTTTTGACAGATTCGATTTATTTGAACAAGATCGTTTCAAAAGGTGGAACCCCAACCTTAAGAGCCCCCACCGCCCCTTCCCTAGAGTTTTGTGAGGGAAATAAATCGTAGGACGTGCCTCAACAGGCCAGGGAATAAGAGCTGCCTGTACACTGCGCTTACAAGGAGTCCAATTCTATGTCTCAGGAATCGAACTTCCACACTGCGGCTGCCAGCAAGACGTGAGATAAATTTACTCATGTCCTTTGCACCACTAGATTGTGTCCCAAGGGGCGAACAAGATCGTTTGAACAAAAGACCAGGATTACTACTTAGATTGTGGAGTATGATTAGATATAATAAATTCACATGCCTCAAAAAACCATTTACATATTGTTGAACTTGTCATTCTCTTTGCAGACTATGGAGCCTAATCATAAATGTATTGGGTCGTTCTACTAAATGATGGATTTTAGGGGCTGGTTTTGAGGGTACAAGACGCATGAGAAACCCTTTATATACTTCTTTCAAATTATATCGAAACCTATAATGTAAGTGGATATAACTTCTGAATTGAGGGTGAATCACTGAATTTTGTGTGTTTGCTTTGCGTGTTTTATGGTTTTTATTCCGTTTATTATTGATCTCATTAATGTCATAAGAAGAGACTAGTGCTGAATTCTTTATCACCATGGTGGTCATGCTTGTTTAATACTACGAGTGAAACTGCTTTTTGAGAATTCAACTTTTTGACTTTCATTATTTGTGTAAGCATAAATCACCCATAGCCACCATTTTCTCTGTGTTCGTAAAAAGAGCGTATTCAATGCTCTTTTTCTTCTGTTATAGCTATTTGTGAACAACGAAGTCGTATTTCTATTTTGTGAAGATCAAGCTTGGGTGTTGTACTCAGTATTTTTAGAGGAATCCATTTTTTGTGCTCTTTTTCTAGTGTTATGACTATTTGTGAACAATGTAAATAACAATGCATTGTTATCCTTTTCTCCATTGCTTATCAATTAGGTAGAGCCATTTTTAATGTTTCCCTTCAAAATTGTAGCATATTAGTTAAGCAATTTAGGGATGACAAAAATACCAGTCAAACTCAATACCCGTGGGGTCGTCCCCGTTCACCCGCTTAATCAGGTAATCGGATTGGATATGGGACATGGAATTTCATCCCGAAGCGGGTACGGATAATAGGGGCCCTTCTTGATTTATTATTATTTTTTAAAATAAAGAATTCTATACTTTAAATAAAAACCTCTATAAAATTTCATTAATTTTAATAGAAGATGACAACTAAGATTATTAAAAGAATATGATAAACAATAAAAACTTAATTTGTCAAATATATTTGAATAATTTAACTTTTCAAAATAAATAAATTAATTAAGAATTTTAATAACTATATTATTATCTCACTTGAATGAATGGGGGCAATAAAATGAATTATCAAAAATTATAAAAATAAAATTAAACGGATACGTAAACAGGGCAACCATCCCCCAACCTTAAATGGGTAACAGGACAGGTACGGAGCTAGAAAATGCTTGGCGGGGCGAGGGGCGGGACAGGTATTTGTCACTTTTCTTTATAGATGGTGTATGACCAAGAGTTATAGGCAGATGGTTGAAACAATTGTGATTGAAGCTCTTGAAATTTTGGAGTTCAGGCAATCAATTCTCTGCTGCATAAACGTATGGTATTATGATTTTGGCACTTGCTTAAAATCATAGAAATGAAGAATACTTCAAACTCTTAACTAATATGAGAAATAGTCAATGCCTTCCTGACGTGTCCACACACAAAGACCTGATTGAAGGAGTGTTTTTGGTTGGAAAGATTGCGGGAAGCTTGTAGAGTTTTGGATGAGATGACCAAGTTAGGCTACCCTCCCTATGTTAAATACAACTATTTCCTAAAAGTTCATACATGACGTGAAGCCCTAGAATGAGAAAATCAAAAAGAAAGAGG